CTTGTTTCCCACTCGCATTGCACAGTCTCTCTTCAGGACCTGGGCAGAATCTGGTGCAAGACTTCCTGGAACATATTCAGACCATCTCAACCACAGAGACTTGGTTATCCTCCTGAGTGGAGACCGTTGTTAATGTTTCAATCTTGCAGATATACTGGGGCCTCAAAAAGTCCATGGGAATATTCCATTATCTTTAAATTCCGTTTTTCCACAAACTTTTTGGAGTTCCTTCATATAACCTGTTCTAAATGCTCAAAAAGAAAAGTAGATGATGCAAATGGTTTGCTCTTGATTCCTATCCTAGAGACTGGTGGTTCCAATCTCACTCTCCAACACTACAAGAACAACCTGGTTATCTGCTTCCATTAAGATTGTAGCCAAGAAAACCCAATGGAGCCGTTCTGCTCTAGCACATGAGCTCATCATGAGTTGAAATAAACTCAATGGCAAGACCACCATGTGGCACACAGCCATGTGCAAAAAAATAAAACATGATCTATTTTCAAGGGTTCAAGTTTGAACCAGGACACTAAATAGCAGAGATCGTCGTAAATAGTATGAGTGCCCCAGTATAGATATGGATATGTTCCTTGGCAAAGTGAGGCCCACCTCAGTCTCTTCTTGGGCTGATTCTATTTGGGGGTTGCCTGGAAGGAAGGATGTGAGACAGTGAAACAGACAGAGAAAGAAGAATGTGATGAGTAGTAATAGGAAGGGAATACTTTTTTAAAATATCCTCAAGGTTTTTTTTAATCATTTATTGGGGCTCATACAACTCTTATCACAATCCATACATACATCAATTATGTCGAGTACATTTGTACATCAATTGCTCTCATTCTCAAAATATTTGCTCTCCACTTAAATCCTTGGTATCAGCTCCTCATTTCCCCCCTGCCCTCCCTACACCCCTCTCCCTCATGAACCGTTGATAATTTATAAATTATTATTTTGTTATATCTTACACTGTCCAACATCCCCCTTCACCCACTTTTCTATTGTCTGTCCCCCAGGGAGGAGGTTATGTGTAGATCCTTATAATTGGTTCCCCCTTTCTACCCTACCTTCCCTCCACCCTCTATTATCGTCACTCTCAACACTGGTCCTGAAGGGATCACCTGTCCTAGATTGTTCCTACATGTACAGTGTACGTCTTCTGGTCTAGCCAAATTTATAAGGTAAGATTGGGATCATGATGATGCGGGGGAGGAAGCATTTAAAAATTAGAGGAAAGCTGTTTGTTTCATAATTGCTACACTGCACGCTGACTGGCTCATCTCCTTCCCATGACCCTTCTGTAAGGGGGTGTCCTGTTACCTACAGATGGGCTTTGGGTCTCCACTCTGCATTCCCCCTCATTTACAATGATATGATTTCTTGTTCTTTGATGCCTGGTACCTGATCCCTTTGACACCTTGTGGTCACACAAGCTGGGTGTGCTTCTTCCATGTGGGCTTTGTTGCTTCTGAGCTAGATGGCTGCTTGCTTACCTGCAAGCCTTTAAGATCCCAGACACTGTATCTTTTGATAGCCAGGCACCATCAGCTTTCTTCACCACATTTGTTTATGCACACATTTGTCTTTAGTGATTGTGTCGGGAAGGTGTGCATCATGGAATGCTAATTTAATAGAACAAAGTGTTCTTGCATTGATATCCTCACATTTTTTATTTCTTTTAGCTGAAGACAGTCTGCCTTGCATTATTTAATCCTGCTCACACTGCTTAAAGCTGTTCACTAAAGCAGAACTGCTGACTGATTATTTATTTTCTCTCAATAGTGTGGCTGCAATGCACCTATTTTACTTTCCATGTTGCAGTTAAGAGAACGCTATTTTCTGAAGAAGAAATTTTAGACCCTCGTGAATTATTTCTTGGAAGTTACTGTCCAGCAACTGAAGTGGATGAAGAAAAACTCATATTTGAGTACCCTAACAATTGGTGCTCAATTCGATCAAGTGTAAGAGATGCAATTGTTTCAATCAGTGCCATCTATAACGTTTTTGGAAATGTGGCTTTCTGTAATTTTAGAATATGCTCCTTACGTTGCTAATTGGGAGCCATAGTTAGGGGGCCTAGCAAGAACATACAGAGCATATTCTCCCTTTTCATTCATAAACAAAGATCTTCTATGTCCAGGACATGAGAGTAAATATAAGTAATTCAAAAAAAGAACTTTCTCTCGAGAAGCTAATAACCTAGTAGAGTATCTATTTTATGTAGCATGATATACTTGTATTAGCCAGCATTTTATTACATTCTCCAATCCTTATGGTTCTATACAGCTGACACCACCCCCACTTATTTAGATTTAGGGATTCATGTACAAAGGCTAGTGATGTAGCTGAACTCATAAGGTTAAAATATAGGACAGCCAGGCTGGAATCGATGCTTTCTCCTGCCTCGTCTCATAAGCCTTTTATTTTGCTTTTGTTCCTTTTGTTTTGTTTTGTCTTCTATTAAGACTGTGAGATAAGTAAGGATAGAACACTTAATAGTAGTGTAGAATGCTTAACTATAGTGGGAAATAATAATGACCAATAAGCTTAGAAGGAAAATATTACCTGGAAGAATACTGAACTAGAATTAGATGTTTCATGTTTAGACTTCTCTATTTCACGTAAGATTATTGAGAAGCATATCCATATCACTTCATAGTCCACTCTTCCTAATGTTTTTTTACCATGTCCTCGATTTTGTCTGATGTTTTCATGCATTTGCAAACCTAAAGCAGAGGAAATAGATTTTCAATGTAGCATACATATACCCCACAATAATGATCTCTTATTAAATCTTCTCTTAGAGCAAATTTGCTTCTAAGGAGCTGCTAAATGTTTTCCTTGAATTTTTATTTGAAGAGGGTAATGTAAATATTCAGAATCAACTCATGCTCAGCTGCCAACTCTATTCAACGCTGTATGTCATGAGTTATGTCTGTTTTCTAAATCAAATGCTTTGGTTTTGTTAGAGAGAACTTAAGCCACTTTAGTGTAAATACCACAGTGGTTTTACTTGAACAGAATAAAAGACAGTGTGATAAAGGAAACATATTTCAAAATCTTTTTTCCCACTAGTTTTTCACTTATGGCTTCATCCTACGTTCCGAGCTGCGCTACCAACCACGTAATCGAGTAAATCATGCTGAAATTCTTTTGGAGTGTGTAGTTTCCAGGTCAGTCCTGCATATCATTGGTTTCTCCTACAAGTACCAGTAACTGAGTCACACAGCTGGCAACAAAAAGGATGGAGGTTTGAACCCACCTAGTCCACCCAAAAGAGAGGTCTAGTGATCTTATTTACAAAATCAGCCATTGGAAATCCTCTGGAGCAGTTTCTACTCTGACACACATCGATTCTCCATGAGTCAGAGTGGACTCAGTAGTAACTGACGGTCAACGAATTGTTTCTTGTCAAAGCAGATCATTTGTTATCCAGAGACATCAAAAATGATGATTGCTTTATGTAGATGTCCACTTTATCACATCTTGAGCCATGTAATTTCATTTCTAGAAGAGTCGCAATCCAGGAGCCAACACTAGGGTCAAGTAACTGGCACTCCATGAAATGATATACCAGTTTCACAAAGCTAGGCAGTCCTGGGTTTGACGCCAAGCAGGAGGCCCTGAGAACCACTGTTTTCTCTCAGTGCTATCTCCCAGACTGTGCTGCTTAAGTTCTTGTCGCAGAGCTCCCACCTGACTGGACCCTCGCTGACCTATAACCTTGAAAGAAAGGAAAAGAAAGATTTTCTTTTTCTCTGGGACACCTTTTTCTCTGGGACACCTAGAGTTTTGGGAAACTCTAGGAATAACCTGTTTTAGCCCTTTTTCCTATTTCCAAGCAAAAGTTCCTATAACAACACACTATGTAACCTTGAGATACCCACTTTGTCTCTTAACTGTGAGAAGTTTCTGTGTCCATAACTTATTACCCCACAGGTTAAAAAAAAAAGTGTGGAGCTGAGGGTGTTGAACAAGTATAACAAGGAAATAATAAAGTGGCCAAACACCATCCCCCACCACCGCCAAAAAAAAGAAGAACAAGGAAACGTGTGCTCCAAAGAGAGAAAGAAAATGCTATCGCTAGTAGAGCAAAGCCTGGAAAGATCTTGTACTGTAGCTCAAGCCCGAGAGTAAGAACTCTTACTCCGTAGATCGCTTTCTACATCCTCTTTTTATTTTTTTTAAGGACCCATTTAGCTCCTGATGGATCCTGGTTCATGGTAAGAAGAAACTACTGTGACTCATGTAGAGCTACCCTCAACCAAGATAACCAAGTAAGTGTATAAATAGGGGTCACTATTTTAGAGGCCCACTCGGGGATTTTAGGACCAGAAATCTTTGGGGCAAATAAAACCCGGTAAAGTTTCAATCCTCAGCAACATTTGAATGGCAGTCCATTCAGTAGGACTTGTTGCTGATGCCTTCGGGTCAACTCCAATCCATGGCAAGCCTATGGGGCAGAGCATTTGCTTTTTCCTGCTGCTGTTATTCCAGACAAAACTTCCAACTTTCGTGAGGCTCCTTTGGTTTTCTCTTTCTATGCTCTTTAAGCAGCAGGGTCCATATTACTTACAATCTTAAAGTCTGAACCATTCCACTGGCTGGAACGTAAATCAGATCTGCAAAGCGCAGAAAATTCCGATGTAAAACTAACCTTGTATCTGTTAGGTGGTTCCAATCCTATGAGTGGGAGCTTAACAAGAGTCCTCCCCCTTATTGAAACAACTTCTGAACCACGGGTCCCATAGATCCCGAATGTCCACTTCCGTGAACGTTGTGTCTCCACAGTTACCAGGAGCTGGTGGACCACAGAACCACTCGGCTGGACAGCAGCCTTTCGGCTCTGCACCGGAGCCACAGAACAGAAGATTGAGTGACTTTCCTTCTTACAATATCACTTGCTTTTAAATTGTTTTAATCTATTGTAATCCTGTGTGTGATGCCTTTAAGAGGCCGTCCATGCTTTTAATTTTCAATGCGGCCAAAGTCCTTAAATAAAATCTGTCCTATTTTTAGTGTATCTCTTATTTATTGAACTTTAAGCTAGAGAGCTGAGTTACCAGCGAACTAGTTTCTTTCAGGGAGGTCTGGGGGGAATTATCAATATTGCCCTCCGTAGTTATTTAATACCCAACTATTGAAAATGAGGCCTAGTTGCACAAAGGCACATGGTTGGAAGTTTACTTGGAGGAGGGAGGGAAGAAAGTGAAACTTGCCAGAAGCAGAGTAACTTCACACCGGGAGGGGGGTGGGGGTACAGAGGACATCTAATTAGGTCCACCACAATCACCCTTGCACATTATTCTGTAATTTCAAATGTGATGCGTCAATTCAAAGGTCTAGATGTGGGTTCCATCCAGGTATCACACGCTCAGCCATCTTGATATGCACAGCCCATTCTTCCCACATAAATGCTATCAGTGCCATCTCGTCGTCTCCTTTCCTTGGCCTTTGTCCTTGGCCTAGCTCCTTTGCTCTGTGTCACTATCTCTGGTACCTCCACCACTTCAGGAAGCGATCTCCAAGGTGCTTCTCTTCCAATAGTCCTAGGATTTTCTCTGTGTCCAAGATGGCTCTTCTACATGGAGGAAGGGCTTTGATGGAGGTGTGGGTTTGCCTTTCAGCAAAGGAAACAAAGGATATGCCTTTGTTCCCACCCTCTACTAAGGCCCAAACTGAATCCCACCTTTATCCTGTCCATTAGTATAGCAGAGAACTCCCTCCAAAATGGGATTCTAGCCACAGGCAGAGAGCCCAAAATTAGATCACATAAGGAGTTATGACTAGAAGGACTGTATTCATTGACTATATCTCAGAAGGGTATGGCTATCTAGCCTACATCAGTCCTACAAGCCAGGAGGTCCCCACACAAATAAGTGCTTCCAAAAGTGCAACCCAGCTCCGTAGGGCACTATTTTGAATACTTGAGACTCAAATCTAATTTCTAATTCTAAAATACCACGTGTATAAGCCATACAAATGTAAGTAGGAGCCGAGCTGCTGTAAGCTAGTTGCAATTGGCTCTTAACCCAAAGGTTAGTGCTTGGAGGCCCCCAGCAGCTCCACAGCAAAGAAAGCCTAGTGAGCTGCTTCCTTAAAGAGCACCGTCAAGACAGCCCTAGGAGCAGTTCTAATCTGTAACACACGGGGTCACTGTGAATCAAAAGGAAGGACTTGACAGCAGGTTACAATATAATTTAATAATTCGTTTCATAAAGGCCGCTGATGGGGGAGTGGGGAGGGAGAGGGAGGGGAAAAAAGGAAAACTAGCTAATTCCAGGAACCCAAGAAGAAAGTGAATTTTGAGAATGATGCGGGCAACAAATGTATAAGTGTGCTTTACACAATTGATGTATGTATTGTGATGAATTGTATGAGCCCCAATAAAATGATTTTTTTTAAAAAGGCCGCTGAGGAAGTTGAGAACACCAATGCATTAATATATACTTAGTGTGCTGAAAAACTAATAATTTATAAATTATCAAGGGTTCGTGAGGGAGTGAGGGAGAGTGAAGGGGGGGGGCGGAAATGAGGAGCTGATACCAAGGGCTCAAATAGAAAGAAAATGTTTTGAAAATGATGATGGCAAGAAATGTACAAATGTGCTTGACACAATGGATGGATGGATGGATTGT